GTTATGATCCTGGAAAAAATATTATAGTTCTCACACCGATATTTTTCTAAACTGCTGACTGAGTTTTTTTTTATTTTTCCTTTCCATTATTAAATGAACAATTTTTCTTTCTTTTTGTATTATCTTGTAACTGATCAAATCATCCATTTTTTTTAAAGTTAATTAATCGTGTACCCCTACTTCTAACTTTATTTGATTTTAAAAATTATTGTAAGATCTCAGTCTAACTTAAAAGAAAGGCTCAGAACTCATTCACAACTTTTTAAGGTATTTGTACCTCACTTTTTTTCTGAAAACTTATCAGATAAGAAAAATCGGTCCCGTTACCTTCTTCCCCTTGATATCTTTGTATTCAAATTAAATCAATTATGATTTTCCGTTGAGTAATACGATACTAATTAATTATAGTATGCGTATATTTTTTGCGAAATGTACGAAAAATTTATTGTATGGTAAAAAAAAAATTCATTCCTCGAGTTAGATTTTCTTTTTAAAAATTTTTATTTACATTTAGAAACATTCCTTATTAACTTTTCTTTTTAATTTACTTTGTATATATTTTTTATTAAATACAGTGTTTAAGAATCTGAAAACTCATAATTTTTTTTTCTAAAAAACAAGAATTTTTATTAGACTTCCAGCGTATTTAAGAGCCACGTCTACTATTGAAGCTTAAAATAAAACTTTTTTTTCCAAATTTATTTAACTCAAACTATAGAGATATATATGATGCAATTAAATAATTTAAAAAATTCGAAGATCATTTCGAAGTAGCGAGTGGGACAATTAAAATTTATAAATTAATTTCAATTGTTTCTAAAAATTGTTTTTTAAATCAACCGTGTATAAAATTATATATGTCGTGGATAAAATATATGCCTAAAGTACAGTAACTGACCTAAAGCAAAGTTATGATGCCTAAAGTACAGTTAAAACTGGCAACTAACGATGATCCAAAGTTCATTTTCTTAAAAATTTGCTCTTTTGTTCCGAAGTTTTTTTTTTTTTTTTCTTTCTTCATAATATAAGATTTTCATCAAAAAATTTACATTATTGAGAGAAAAATTGAAATCTTAATTTCGCGAGTGAACAAAATAATATTAATCACTGATTTGTGTAAATAAGTTTTAAAAAAAGAAATTGGAAATAAATTGGGTTAAAATTATTATTTGAACTGAGTTGGTTATATATTAAAAGGAATCGTCCGATTCAAACTAGTGCAAAATATTTTCACGACTCGGAAATAAATGCAAATCCATTAGAATGTTTGTTTTTAGCCTGGATTCTTTTTGAAGTAAAGTCTTCAAAAAAACGTCTGCCTCGATAACAGCTAAGTGGATTTAAGCTCATTTTCTGACAATGTATGGCTTCTACCGGTGTCGCAAAATATAATTGTAAAACTCTTCTTGATTTTGTCGGATATTGTGCATCGATTAGTTTTCTCTGAAAGCCATTTTCGATTATAAAAAGGTATGTCTCGATTTACTTTAACTATTTGGAATCAATCGCTTCTTTTAAAAACGTATAAAACTATTCACTATAAAATTAACACATACTATCAGAAATTCTCGTATATAGGTTGAAATTATTTTCAAACAAATGTTTGATTTTTCAAAATTTTTGATAACTCAATAAATTTAAACTCCTAAAAATGTATTTACATTTTTTATGCTCCGAACTATGCATTATATTCCTTGACTCGTGCACCAGTTATAAATTTTTGGAATCATCGTCAAAAATAATAAATTATTTTAATAATAAATTACTTTAATAAAAAATTATTTTAATAATAATTTAATTAATAATAATTTAATTAAAAATAATTTATTATTACTAATAGGCAAAAATAAGTATTTAAAAAAGGAAAATATAATGATATCAAAATCTGACGAATCAATTTCGGAGTTAAGCATGGATGGCACAGTTATCAAAATTAGTTTTATAAGAAAATCATCTTCGTTGATAAATCTCCATAATCAAAACCCAAATTTTTATAATATCTTTGTTTTTGTCTTACTTGAACTAAAGTTCCGTATTTTTTAACCTGCTTTATTTTCGACAAGCATTTCGTGAGAAAGATCGGTATTTCTTCTAAGACGAGAAGTACTTTTCTTTTGTACAATAAGTATTGTTCTCTGAGCAATAGGACGATGGATATTATTTTTTCTGAAATAGGTACTTTTTTCAGAGACGAGAGATGCTCTCTGGTGCTCTTGGTACTTCTATCTCCATCTCCAGCATTTAAAACATACATAATATCTTTAAAATTTACCAGTTGTATTTTTCTCAGAAACAGGATTAAATATTTATCTAAGATTTCTAGAATTTTTTTAGCATTATTTTCATTTCAAATTTTTTAATTTTTTTCAAAAAGGTTTATTTTTTGAAAAATGTTTTTTAAAAGAATCACACTAATTTTTATTTTGATTCTTTTCCGAAGGTGATAACAAGAAGGGGAAGGGTTATCGTAGCGTATATAATTTTCTGAATAAACAGCAATAATTAAACTACTTTAAATAGAGTTACAGCTACTTATAAAACCAAAAATACCAAATTTCTTCGTCGAAAATGTAATTTACATAATTTTTGACTTGTTAGAAAATTATTTACCTAAATATTGTGTTCAAAAATCAATAATTAAATTAATCTTCAATAAAAACTGAATTTATAATTAAATAACTGAATTTACAGTTAAATAATTGAGTTTAATATTAAATAAAAATTTTATATGCGTGAGTGCCATTTCCACGAATGCCTTTATTCCTTGTCTTTCGCCATATGTTTTGTGTTATTTAATGTATACAGAATAGCAGGTATCCTGAAAAAAGGGACACAACATAAAACATATTGGCAATCTCACTGCATTTTGCTGATCTATAAATAAAAAGGAAAATTTCGTATCTCAATTCTTTTACATAAATAGATTTTAGAAGAAGAAAAAAAAAGCATTCTACGATGTTCTTTTTTTGTCGAAAGTGTTCAAAAATAAAAATGAAGTTTAGTGAAAAGCATAATGCTTTTAGAATAATAAATATAAAACGGTCAAAATTGCCATTTTCTTTATCATGGTTCCGGAAATGAGAGAGAAAATTCCGGAAGATGTCTTACTAAAATTCTTTTATTTTCTTATCTTTTTTGAGTAAGTAACTTCCACTTGTGTTTTTATGATTTTTTAAGATACTTCCTACAAGGAATTGAAAGGTAATTTTTCTCATTTTTTTTTATTTGTCTAATATAATAATAACTATTTTTTAAAAGTAAGTTTGATTTTTTCAAAAAGATTTCTAGAGAACTAATCATTTTATATTATATTTTTTCATGTTGTTTCAACATTAATCTAGCTCCATATGATAGTAATAATTAATATGCCTCCAGATCATAATTATTTTTCTTTCCATTGGCTGTATGATTCGTGTTTCTCGGAGGCAGCAAAGACTTTTCAAATGCAATGAAAATGTAAAAATAGTACAAAATGAAAGCTGCATATTCAATGAAAGACTAACAGTTACTTGCTTTCTATTTATTCAAAAACTGAGATCAAATCGAATTTTTAACAGGAGAAAGGGTGCTCTTCGGGAAAATATGAGAACCTGATTGGTGTAAGGTATTTTACCCGCGAAAAACTCACCAATCAGGCTCCTTTTTTTTCACGGGGACAATCGGAAGTGCGCCAACCGCATTCTGTATGAATGCTCCTTTTAAACATATTTGCGGAATGCATTGCATATGAAGGTAGAAATAATTTGTGTTTTAAGCAATTAAAACGACATTAGCTTCTTGAAAATATTTAAAAACTTCAAAAAATCGTGCAGAAAAATTACATTTCTCCTCCTCCCATGTCGTGGTGCTTCAGGAGAAGCGGCTTACGACGTAGATTTTAAAATTCTTTAAGATGAACGAAAAGCAATTAATTTATTTTGTTTCATTATTTTCTTCTAAGGATCAATTTCTTTTAGTTTTAAAATCTTCGATTTTATCGGCGGACATCTTAGAAAGAAATGGATCTTTTTATATCGTCACATAATTAGCTCCTTCCAAAATTCATTTTTATTTCAATTTCTAATTCTTTATTTGCTTTGAACCTGAAACTAAAACAGAGTTTGTACAAAGGACATTTTTTTGAAATCATATACATAAAGTTTGATTAAATTTCAACCAGAGGTTAGAGGCCAACCAGTCTGTATTGTGAGGTAACGTGTAAACAACCAATGCTTAATGAATAATCTGATTTCTGATTTACTAAGTTAAATTTTTATTGGTAAGCAAGAAAAACGAAATATTTGAGAGTTCTACATTTTATATAGTGCTTGAATCACGAAGTTTTGCTTTTTTTTCGTAAAAGCAAGGTTGACAAAAAGTTGCAATTTTTACTCGTGCTTAATATACATTTGTGAATTTTCATACAGATCTTCAAAGAGAAGTCTCAGAAATGCAGAACACTTTTAAATGACTTGAAAAGTGTTAAAAATTAGAATTTATGAGAACGAAACTTTACAGACAGCTCATTGATTTCAGATGACAGTAAACAAACAGTTAACCGTGAAAACAAGATTTGTTTAAGGGAAGGGGGGAGACTGCTCTCCTTGTTTTTGTATACAATATACTTCAGTGTCACAATTAAGGATCCCTTTTATCAGACGACTTTTGTTTTGTTAGATGCTTTAACATCGTAACTAAATATTAATATTAATGAAATTCAATGTAGAATATATTGTAAATACAAGATTCCGGATTTGACTTTTTCAGATTAGGCTTAGCCACACCCCATTGCGGCGTTTAGAGACTTGGATGCAATCGGCTGATATTAGTATTCCTATTTGAGGTTGACATTTTTGTTTATTTGTTGTTTTGTGGTTTATTGTATGTTTAAAAAAATAATATGCTTTGTAAACAATACGCACACGATTGGATAATTGAGTTGTTTTCTATACGTGGGATAGTTGATTGTTGGTAATCGATTGTATTTTTGTGTTATGTGATTTGTTATGAAGTCAGTAAGGATATGTTTTACAATTTATTATGCTTGTATTTGAAGCCTTGCGTACATTATAGTATAATATGTAAACCTGTACAAAATAATGTACAAACAATTGCATTTAAATTGTTTGTTTATTTGCTCAGATCTAAATTGGAAATCGAGAATCACAGATGCAGTAAAAATCTTTAATACTTTCATTTTAAACCATAACTTATTAATTTTTTTTTAGCATTGCATTTACTCTTTATTTTAATCTTGAAGAGAATTGTATTTGAAATCATAATTATGTTAATATTTTAGTTTAGTGTTTAATCTTTCAATCGGACTTTTTTTTTTTTGTTATTTATAATTGCTAAGTACTATGCTCCCTTTCACTTCAATAAATTATTACATAATTGTTGTAAANTTTTTTTTAGCATTGCATTTACTCTTTATTTTAATCATGAGGAGAATTGTATTTAAAATCATAATTATGTTAATATTTTAGTTTAGTGTTTAATCTTTCAATCAGATTTTTTTTTTTGTTATTTATAATTGCTAAGTACTATGCTCCCTTTCACTTCAATAAATTATTACATAATTGTTGTAAATTTATGTATTTCCGAACACATTCAATATTTTTAATTAAAGTGACTGATAGTATAATGCTGACATGCTTTGCTAGATTCCATAAATCTTTTTTTTTATTTTTTATCAGACAGTATTACTTATATTTGCTAAATAAATATCTTTAGATACTGCAGTTCAAATTTAATAAATCTATTTCCTAACATTTAATGATAAATTTTTTTCCTTAATGTACACTGATAGTGAATATTTAAACTGAAGATCATTGAATGAAAAAGGCATTTCCATATTTTAATAATTATTTTTAGAAATTATTATTAAATTTTTATTTATATCACCAGTTTAAATAAAGATAAATATATCAGCGTGGAATTTTTTTCAGAGGCAGGTCATTGAAGGAAACTTAGGTGCAAGTTATTGGAATCAATCTATTTATTGCTATAACTAAAAAAAATTTAATTTACCTTAAATATTAGTTGATAAAGTACAATAAGTTTTCTTTATATTTTGAAGCCACCATTTGCAAAATTGAAAAACTAAAAGGTCTTCCCATTTTATTTTTTATTGAAATTAAACTAAATTACTTTTCTGTACTGAAAAATAATTTTAGTTTTTTTTTTTTATATCACTTAGATTGCCAACATTTTTGGGTTTTAAATAAATCTGAAAGTCTCCTTTTTTTTACAAAAAAAGGAAAAATTATTTTGATTTAAATAAAAATTTCTTACATCATTTTAAATTGTGACCTCCATATTGATAATTTAATGATATGATAAAAGTGTTTTCACAAAATACTAAGTTTTGAAAATAATTACCATTTGTGTGTGTGTCCCTCTCTCTCTCTCTCTCTCTNATGATTACAAAGTATATATATTGTTGATAGAAGAATGTTATTAAATGTTTATTTTTTATTTTGTTAAGTTGTCTTTTGTATCATTGAATTTCTCATTCAACAACACAATTTTCCTGACTATTTAGAAAAATTGTGTTCATCTTCACACATTTTCTCTGTATCACTTTTTATTTTTATCTATTACTAATTTTAATACTTTTACTTTCATTTTTAATTTAGTTCAAGAAGATATCAAAATCAGCAGATTATCTAATAGCTCACATAGAGGAATAAATGTATTAATTTAATGGTTAAAATCGAAACTAAATTAAAAACAAAAATGAAAGTGATAAAATGAGTAATAGATAAAAATAAAAGAGATAGAGAAAATATGTGTGATGAACAACATTACAGAGATAAACAAGGTACATGATGTTATATACAAAGTACATGATGAAATGTAGACTGTTTGAGCATCATGCTATCTTTTTTTGAATTATAATTTGTCTGTATCAATATTTTTTTAAACTTTATAATATTTCATGTTGCAGGTTGCTTTAGGAAGATATTATCCATAAGCAACATCATGGCTTGTTGCATGAGTGATGAAGCCAAGGAACAAAAGCGTATAAATCAAGAAATTGAGAAGCAACTTCGTAAAGATAAGCGTGATGCACGGAGAGAATTAAAATTATTATTGTTAGGTAAGATCTTGAGTGAAATTATTTTCTTTGGATTTATATCTTGACCCTTTTTTTTCTTCAGATCTTGATATTTGATAGTTTATTTAGGTGCAAATAATTAAAAAATAATTTCGCGACTTATTTTACCAATTAAAAAAATTGAATATGCTATTACATTAAAATATTTAGTAACCTCTGTGAATTATTGTTTTAGATTTGATTATTTTTATGTATATGGTTTATTTTTATCTTAAAATTTTTTTATAGCATTTAAAAAAATAGTAGTTTTAATTATGTTTCAAATGATAATATAATGCAATTAATATCATAATAATCCAAATGATAATATAATGCAATTAATCACAAATTTTCAAATTGGATTTGGATTGTTAAACTTTTCTATGTTTGTTGCTTATTTTGAATTTCAGAAGTTAATTTTTATAATATTATTTTCATGAGTTGTCTAATGCCCCCAGCCCTTAAAAAAAATTAATTTAATGAAATTATCATAATATCGAATAAGTAATTTTAGTATTTAGTTGGTTATGGAGCGAATTAAAATTATAATTGTTAGGCAAGAACTTGAGTGAAATAATTTTTAAATTTTTTTTTGGAGTCATATCTTGACCCCACCTTTCCCCCCCTCCCAGATCTTGATATTTGATAGTTTATTTATGCGCTGATAATTAAAAAATAATTTTGCAACTTGTTTTACCAATTAATAAATTGAAAATGTTGTTACATTAAAATTTTTAGTAACCTCTGTGAATTATTGTATTAGATTTGATTATTTTTATGTGTATGCTTTATTTTTATCTTTAAGAATCTTCATAGCATTTAAAAATTAGTGGTTTTAATTATATTTGAAATGACAAAATAATGCAATTAATATCATGATACTGTGCAAATTTTTAAATTGGATTTTGATTATTGTACTTTTTTATCTTTGTTGCTTATTCTAAACTTCAGAAGTAAATTTTTATAATATTATTTGTATGAGTTATCTGATGCCACCATCCCTTTAAAAAAAGATGAATCTGTTGAAATTATTATAGTAATGAATAGGTAATTTTGGTATTAAGTTAGTTACTAATTTTTTTCATTTGCCTTTAATCACACGTTGTTTATTATGTTTTATAAATACTTAAAGCTAATGACTGTTTTTCAAATCTTGTTATGAAATCATAAAGATTTATATTTTTTGTCCTATTATATAGTAGGTAAACCAGAAAAATACAGCTTTCAGAACTTTTCTCATCTGTATATATTTTACTAATTTTATAGTCAACACAAGTTTATAAGTAGAAAATTTTTGGACTGGCAATACAAAAAAAATATTTTTATACTTGCCTTGCTTTTTTTTAATTTTTTTTAAACAATAAAAAATGAAGTTATCTTTAACACTTTTCATCCTAAGGGTTAATTTCTCTCTATTACTAAATGAGATGATATTAAATCAAATCTAATTTAATCATCGAGTGTTGAATCATATTCTTTGCCAATGAGTTCATCTGAGATAGATTGACCTAGTACAGGGGTGGCGAACCTTTATACACCAACGTGCCATTTTTTCCAAAAAATTGTTTAATGAGGTCATAGACGTGCCGTCAAATAATTTTGCTTTTGTGATTATTGAGAAAATAATAATACTAAATACTATTTACTCAAAACTCTTTAATTACATTGAAGAAAAAAAATATTTTGCAATGCCTCAGTTATACGCGTAATTCAACTTAAAGTAACATCAGTGTGACTTCTGTTGTTGCAGATTAGATGACAAATAACTTATATTAGGTTGTAAGCTTTTAGTTTAAGCAGGACTGTTTATTTTTTTTTGTTAGTTATTTATTGTTAGCTTGTTTTTTATGGTTATTAATTGCTTTTTTAGCATTAATTGTTAATTTTTTTCATTAATAATTGTTTATTATTTTGTGTGTTTTTTGTGAATTTTAATTTAATTGTTACATATACTTCATAGAGTAATAGCATTTGAGTAATAACAATTCATAGTGTAATAACAAATGTGATCGGTGGCGTGCCAAAAATATTGTGTCGGGTGCCATAAATGGCACGCGTGCCATTGGTTCGCCATCCCTGACCTAGTAGATGCAGATCTCAGAACTTTTTTTTTTAAATTCTATCCACAACTTAAAATCATCACAAATCTATAATAAAATTTAAATGAGTCAGCATAAAGAAATTATTTTTCACTTGTATATCTTTTAAATTACATAATTATCAGTAGTATTTGTTGCCCAATTTCCCTTTATAACCAAATGGCATGATTTTTTAATAATATTAATGTAATGAGCCAAAAATACTTAGTTACTGACAGGTGTCTAGTCTACAGCTGTTAATCATTTAAGTTTGAACCTAAATCTAAGTAATTTGGATTTTATCAAGTACATATTTTATAATTGTAGGATGCAATTAATCTCATTTTAATAATTGTTGCCTTATAAAATTCTTTTTTTTAGCCTGCTAAATCAGTTTAGCCAGCTAATCCACTTCAATCTTTATGAAGGACGGCTTGTAAAAAGTATTAAGAAAAGGATAATTAAGATTCGAAACAAATGAAGAAAATTAAAAACAAACTGTGAAAATATTAGTTAAAAATAATTTTGACACAATTTTATGATTTATTTCAGAAATTATTGCTAATGTGTAAATAATATAAGAGGGATAATTAATATTTTTTCTATTATGTGTAGTTAATAATTAGATAATTATATTTTTTGATTTTAGGAACTATTGCTATCACATAGAAAGCATACTAAGAGGAATAATTAATAGTGACAAATGAGATATTGTCAATGCGCTTTTCCTTAAAGGGTCTTTCCCTTAAAAGCAACCAGTATTTCTAAATGTTAAATTGTTTACTTTCATTTCAGGTACTGGCGAGTCTGGTAAAAGCACTTTCATAAAACAGATGAGAATTATCCATGGTTCTGGTTATTCTGATGAAGATAAAAGAAGCTTTATCAAGCTCGTCTATCAAAACATTTTTATGGCCATGCAGAGCATGATAAAAGCCATGGAACTACTCAGGATAGAGTATAAAAACCCAGCAAACCATGTAAGCAATTCATCATACTTTATGCTCTTTGATAATCTATTAAATAATTTTAAAATGTTTTTTCTAAGAGTTATGTTTGTATATTTTGAAACATGGCATGCATTCCAGTGTAATAATATCCATATGCTTAAATTAATTATTTTATTGGGAATATTTTATGTTTACACTAATTATAAGTTTTTATTTGTCCCGAAACAAATCTTTGTCCTAGCTTCCAACTCACACATAAAATCAAGAAACTTCCACATTTTAGGCAAATGTTCCAGACTCTAAAAGAATTATTAAATTTCATGATTTTTTTAAAATTATTCACAATATCACAACTTTTTTCAATTTATATTACATTATTGCATAAAATTATAAAATATGTGTAATGACTGGAATTTTTATAAACCAAATTTTGTAAATAATTTCACTCTGAAGTTCTACTGTAAATTTTACTTTACATTTTCAATTTGTTAAAATTTCATAAATATTTTCATTTATTCAGCTTTATTTGTAACTGCATCTTCATTTAGTTAATTTTTTGTGAATATTATCACTCAGGGAACTTTCGTTTAAATTTAATCAAGCATTTGTTTTATGAATGCATTTGTAAAGCAACAGATTTAAGATGCTTTATTAGGATTAATAAAATTTTATCTGTATTTATATGAAATTTTAGTGCTGTTAGAATTTAAGATCGTAATTTTAGTATGCTGTAATTTACTATTTTTTTGGTGTAATTTGCTTTAAGAAAAAATTCCTAGCTACTGCTAAATTTCCCTTTTAAGTCTTAAATTGTGCTGTATACAAAATGTTTCTTTTTATGATTTGCCAATGAGCTTTTTATTTTACTTATCTATTAAGAGGACACTATACTGATGGAGAAAAAAAAATTCCTATTGCAAATTTTCTTTTACCTCCATAAGTAATTTAAAGTATATAAAATTAAGTTCTGTCAAACGTAGAGTAAGCCAAGAAGCTTTAATTGTTGGAGAAAAAAAATTTCAAAATATCGAAATGCAAACAAATCATTGGAAGAGAATTTCTCCTCTGCGTAATCCTAAGTTATCCTCTCATAATTATTTTCATTTTGATATTTTGAAAATTTCTCTTTAGTATTTCTTTATGGCTTACTCTAGATCTTTGGTAAGTTATCTACAATTCATCATGTTGTACATTTTTAATTAAATTTTTAGTTCCTCAGTTTGTACCATTGTGCTGCAACTTGCATGATTACAAAGTTGAAAATAGATACTCTCAGCATGACTCAGTTGGCTAGTTCCATGACATGAAGCTGGTGGAGTGTGCTTCCAAATAGTTTAAGCCTTTACAACAATTTCTGTATTTAAATATTAAAAAAAGTTCAATTAGTTTTAAACATAGATTTGAGAGGAGAAATATTAATTCCTTCTCTTTTGTCTTAAACAAATGATTCCCTGTTAAATAAAATATAATAAAAAATATAATAATTTCTAGCACTTTGCCAACTGTATCTTTTTATTTTAATTATTTCATTAAAATGAAAATTCAAGTTAAATATGCTTCGGGAAATTGAGAATGTGATAGGTATATTTTAGATTGGAAGATGGAACCAGATTCATTAAGACTTTTCCTTAAGTTCTGAAAATTGTGAATTAAATATTATTATCCTTTAAGATTTTAATTTTTACTGTTGTATTTTGTTTTCCTGACAGAATTTTTAAAATATTAATACAAGAATTGTTATTAAGTGAAGAATTATGACATCTTGAAACTGTAAATCAAATTTTTGTGAATCACGAGACTCACCTAGTGATTTTGATACATGTTAGAAGACTGCTTATCTCTTAACTTAGCACATATATGATAAAGATTGTAACTGTCCCTGCCCTTTCCCCCGTATTTTTAGGGTATACGGGAGTGCTTGATAAACTTGACGCTGCAATAGTTCCCCCACAGGAAAGGGGGAGCACACTTTTATATGGTAAAATGTATGTATTCTACAGTGTTTTCACTACAGCGCGAGAATCTCGCATATTTTTTTCTTTTCTCGCATTAAAAAATTATTACCGCGAGAAATTCGCGCATTCTATAAATCAATTTCAATATTCACGAATTTCTCGCATTTTGGTAAAAACTTCGAATTACGCCATTTAGAATAAAATCCGTTTATCTTTTCTTCCTGGATCTTTCATTATTTTCAACATCTGCCCATTATCTAGCTTCCCTATTTACCAGTATTGTTCAGAACCTCTTCGAACAACAGAACACAACCATGGAACCCCTTTCAGAATACATTTCTCTGCAACCACGCGTTTACCGTAGGTAAAGTTTCTTAATGTAAGACGTTCAAAATTTTTATGCACTTATGTAAGATGGACTAATACCTTGTAAAGGCAAAATCTTCTATGATGATGCACCAAAAATATTCAATGCTTTAAAAAATAGAAGACGTTAACAATGTATTATAATTAAAGAAATGATTTTTTTTTCTCAAGAGTTTTTGTTTCTTTAGAAATCTCACTTAACTTTTTGAAATCTCACCCTGTTTTTGAGAAAGGATGAGAAATTCTCTCCCATTTTTTTTTTATGATGAAAACACTGTTGAGACATCACTTGTATTTGTTAATATCATGATTAATGTTCACAAAATTTGATATCAAACATCTTTATTCAGATAAATCTGATTTTAAAGTTCACATTTTGAATCTTATTCACGTAATTTAAAAATTTGTAGATAGTGAATCTTAAATGATTTTGATTCATATTAATGAGTTTAACATCTAATGTCACTATCTGTAGTGGTTTTTTTTAAGATTTATTTCAAGTAATCTACACATGATTAAAAGTTAATGGAGATTCATATTCATGTGCTTTAAGAGTCGTGCATCACGATTTGTGTTTTCGCCTTCTTAAAATTCAATATCGTGATTCATATTACTGTGATTTTTATAATCTGATGATTTTATAATCTTTCAAAAAAATGAACGAAAAAACATAATTTCTAGAGTGATTATCTTATAAACTTCTGTGGTTTGAGAATTTTTATTAATTATTTTGTTTATTTAATCAGTTTAAAATTCTAGCTGAATCAAGCGAGTCACAGGCAAATTTTTTTTATTCCGAAATGAGAACAGAAAAATCTCTTGTTCTTTTACTTTCTGATGAACAAGAAAAGTATCTTTAGAATATAATTCTGCAGGAAAAAGATAATTATTTGCTTTTGTATTTTATAGCTTTTTTTATTGCTTTAACTTTTTCTTTGCTCTGTTTTTTAAATTTAAAACCTATAACTATNTTGAAGATTTTCTAAAGATTTAGTGATAATTTTATTAAGCACATCATTTCTGTTCAGATTTTGAATGATAGATGGCAAGCGGTTTTTGATCTGATCATGATGTATGATGCAGCAGTTCTAAAAAAGAATATGTTGGTTTTGTAAAATTCTTTATATTAACTTGAGTGATTTTATTTAAAAAAATGCTTATACATTTTTATGAATAGTTACTCATCTGTTTGGTGGGTTTATTTTGTGATTTTTAGTAAAAACACTTAAACTGAGGTTGTTTTTTTTTTCCAATGGCAATTCAGGTTGAATTTCTCACTTTTGCGACATTTGTTTTCATTTGACAAAGGGACAAGCATTAATACTTGTTGGTTAGGAAGGTAGGAGTTTGCAAAAAATCACTATAATTTGCGAACATTATTTTCTCTTAAAGTTAAAAATGTTAGTTTTTTTGTTTTTCTTTGAAACCACATGGAATTGTAGAAGATATTTCACTCCAAGATGAGAACAAACAGAAAATTCAAGTTCCTTGGTTTTGTAAACCTACAGGTGTATGATGTTTTTACTCTAGAGTAAACATGTTTTGTTAATCATATACATTAAACTTAAAGTTAATTTATTTTTATCCCAAATAAAAGAGTATTGCTTAAAAAAGTAAAGAATTGGTAGAAACTATTTTTTTAAACTAAATTATGCCTATTGTCCTTTTAAAAGAACAGTTATTATTTTTTTTTCCTTCAGAAATGAATTCCTTCAGAAGCATGAGTTTAAGTGTTTTAATATTATGATTTATTCTGTGGAAACCAGATAGTTCTTCACATAACATAACATAACATATTAAGTATAATACCATAACATATAACAATAACATAGTATAATGGCCATAACACATTTTAAATATAATAATATTTATAATTGGAGTTGAAATCTAGACATTGTGCTTTTTTAAAAGTAATGTAGTAGTTAACAGAAAAATATATCATATGGGGAAAAGCAAAACACGTGCTATCACTTTTTTACATAAGTATTTTTCTTGTAAAAATCACTTATCGTTGCTAGGCATAATGAGTTAAAAAAATATTATTTGTTTGTACATTATTGTGTGCATCGTGCTACATCCCCCAAACTCATTTGAATTTCTTTAGTTATCTTTGTGATTTGGAAAGAATAGCACTACCTGATTATCTACCAACACAGCAAGATATATTACGAGTAAGAGTACCAACTACTGGAATAATTGAATACCCATTTGACTTGGATTCCATCATATTTAGGTTAGTTACATTGGTTTTTCCTTTTTTTAGGATTTAATATTTATGCTTGCGTAATTTTTCAAAAATTATATTGTCTTTATTATTTTTAGAATGGTAGATGTTGGTGGTCAACGTTCTGAAAGACGGAAATGGATTCATTGTTTTGAAAATGTAACTTCAATTATATTTTTAGTTGCCTTGAGTGAATATGATCAAATTTTATTTGAATCAGATAATGAAGTAAGTAATTGTTTTTTTAAAAAAAATTCTTCTTTTCAGTCAAAATTGTTCTTTATTTCCTCTTATTTTTTTGAACTAATTAATATTATCGGAATGTAATTTTTGTTCTCCAATTTAATTCAAAGTAAATATAAGTTGATAATTTTTTATTGTAATATTTTTTTAAAATTATTATTAATTTTAATACATTTTAGTGTTTACCATGTATTCAATCTTGAATAATTCCAAATAAGCACATCTGAGCCGCAATGGCTCAGGGGTTCGCCTTCCAATGAAGTGAACCGGGCTCGGATCCAAGTGATTGCAGGTCGATATGAATCCGCGTACGGCTTGCACCGACCAAAGTGCCTCAGTGGTAGACGGATCATGGGTTAGAGCCCCTTTGCCTCCAAACTAACTGTGGGAGTTTCTTGTGGTCTTCCTCTCCATGTAACGCAAATGCTGGTTAGTTCCATCTGAAAGTCCTCCACGAAGACAAAATTTCTACCAATACTTGATCCAGGAGTTCCTTTGTCTTCTGTATTGGGTTCAAAATTACAAGGCTACGGAGTTTAAAATTAGTAGTCGTGAACCTGAAAATTGGGTTGGCTGTTCAACGACAGTTATAAAATTAAATAATCACGTTTGTATCTAACTAGAAGGTTTTCAATTTGAAATTATTTCTGTATAAGTACATCCATATGTAAGCCATTATTTCCAACATTGAATAATTATTATATATATATATTTTAAGTTAGCATAACCTTATGGTAACTGATGGGCCAAAAATTCGCACTGCATTTAATAGAGGGTACGTGATATTTCTCCAATTTATAAGTAAAATTTAATACATATAATTCTAACTGAAATATTATTTAAAATAAATCAGCACAATGCATTTCAAACTGTACTAAAAACAATTTTCTAGTAATATATACAGTAACAGGGTTGCACAGAGAGAACATGGAAAATACAGGGAATTTTGTTTCTTATTTTTGTCTTTTAAAAAATGGTGAACACTCAAAGCTTAATCTTCTATAGGATATTTAACGATGTTATTTCAGTGATACTAAATTATTTAATTTATTATGGAATTATTTGAGTATGTTCAGCTGTTTTCCAGCAATCAAAACTAATAAATATAGTTAGCCCAATATGGCTCACACAAGAGCACAGTAATTATTGTTTCCTCTTAATATATTGTGTATAATATGTACAGGGAAAACACGGGGAATTNTAATCTATGGGATATTTAACCGTGATATTTCAGTTATACTAAACTATTTAATTTATTATAGCATTATTTAAGTATGTTCAGCTGTTTTCCAGCAATCAAAACTAATAAATATAGTTAGCCCAATATAGCCACACTAGAGCACAGTAATTATTGTTTCCTCTTAATATATTGTGTATAATATGTACAGGGAAAACACAGGGAATTTTTTTTCTTCCAGGTTTGAGAGGCAACCCTGAATGATATAATCAAATTTATGTTTAAATTTATTGAAAATGGAATAGAATTATTTTTATTATTAACTACTGATTTTGTAATAAATTTTTCAGAAAAATTAAGTATACTATCTAAAGTAGTAGTTCATATAATTTACTTTTAAGAATTTAAACAATACAGCTGTAAGCAAAGCGAGTACTTCAGAATGACAGAAAAAAGTTGTTCTAATGCTGAAAGAACTGACATCTATTTATCTTCTTAATTATGCCATTTAAGGATTTTTTTACTTTCACTTTATTTCTCTGGTGTATCTATTTTTTTAGCTAGATGGATCCATTTATAAATAGACATATCATGACATTTTCCAATTATATCTTGATATGTTTGAATTAATTTAAAAGGGTTATATTTTATGTGAATTTCTTTTTCTCGTTAATCTTTGACTGAATCGTTATCATCATTGTGATTATCTACTTCAATTTCTTTTTGTCTAATTCTTTGTATTAGTTATAAGCAACCATCTTTAAAGATTTCATTTACTTTAAAGAGTTTAGGAAATAAAGCTGCAAGATTTACTTTCCCACATGCATGTATCTAAATACATAATATGACCTACTCTGATATGTATCACATTGACTTAAATTTTCTTTAAAACTAATGATTTTTAAATTTAAGTCGCTATATTTGTTCTTCTTAAAAGTAGTATCCCACTTGTCTATTTCCTTACATAAGTATAGCGAAAAATGTAGGTAAAGTTTTTGTAATATAATTTATCTGTTTTAAAGCGTGTGATCTTTTATAAATACTGGAAAACTACTAATATTGAATTTTTAAAAAAAATAATTCTGAAAAATGTTACTTATTTAGAATCGTATGGAAGAAAGCAAGGCACTATTCAAAACGATCATCACATATCCATGGTTCCAAAATTCATCTGTCATTCTTTTTCTCAACAAAAAAGATCTCTTAGAAGAAAAGATTATGGTATCTCACTTAGTGGATTACTTTCCAGAATACGATGGTATGTTTCATTTTCTTTTGTTAATGTATGTTCTTATATTTAAATGTAGCATTTTATGTACATTTAACTTAAATTTCAATCTTTACCTTTGTATAAAAATTTAAGTGTCAAAGGTAAAACCTGATTTTGTTTAGAGTCCTGACAAATAATATTTAATTCTAGTTTAAAGTAATATGGCATTTTTACATATTGAGATTTTTTTTCCTTTTCAAGCTCTGCAAATAATTTTTAAATGAACTCAGAATTAGTTATGTTCTTTTGAATATTCTTTATCAACAGTAGATGGCAAAATCTATTATAAATGCAAAATCTATTATATCTAAATAACTATTTTGATATATTAATGTTTTCTTACCTTTATTTATATTAATGTTTATTATGGTTAATGCTTCATTTACATTTCTTTTCAATTTTTTTGAATGGGTGCTGGTACGAAATTTTCTGTGAGTTTAATGCTGACTTATATTTATCATTTTAGCCAGCTTATTTTACTTAAAATTTTGTAGATTGCCTAACTTACTTAAAATTGAACTTCGTACATTAGGTCCTCCATGACTCTGAACAAGGACTTTTTATTTTTTCCTTCTGTCTTTTATTGTAGAAAACTGTATTTACTTATTATTATTAACTACTTATGTATTTATTTACTTTTACTATTATTCATTACTTTTGTATTTATTTACTTAATGTTATTAATTGTATTAGCCTACTATAACAAATTTAATAGACTATTTTTCTTCTTTTACTATTTCAATTAACCTATTTCTTTTTCATTCCCATTCATTCCTTTTCTTTTTTCTTAAACAAATGATTTCCTGTTAAATGAAATAATAATAATAAAAATTATTACTAGCACTTTGCCAGCTGCATTTTTTTATTTTAATTTTTTTATTGAAATGAAAATTCATGTTAAATATGCTTCGGGAAATTGAGAGTTTTAGATAGGAAGATGGAACGAGATTCATGAAGACTGTTCCTTAAATTCTGAAATTTGTGAATTAAATATGATTATTCTTTAAGATTTTAATCTTAACTATTGTATTTTGTTTTTCTGACAGAATTTTTAAAATATTAATACAAGAATTATTATTAAATAAAGAATTATGACATCTTGAAAATGTAAATTGAATTTTTGTGAGCGAGAGAGAGTGCGCCTTTGACTCCAAACTCACCTAGTGTTTTAGACACATGTTAGAAGACTGCCTATCTCTTAACTTAACAGTTATATGGTGAAATACATGTATTCCATGAAAGAAAAAAAGTCTTATTAAATTGATTTTATGAGCATAAGAGGTTCATTAAAATATTGCTGAATGGTATTTCTTTTTGCACTATGTATATTTATTATGTATGGTGTGTTTTATTATGTTTTGTTTGTTTTATTTTAATTATGTTATGTATGTTTTATTTTAATTGTGTTATGTGTGTTTTATTTTAATTATGTTATGTGTGTTTTATTTTAATCATGTTATGTGTGTTTTATTTTAATTATATATGTTTATTCTGATTTTAGGTCCCAAGCAAGACCATATTGCTGCACGGGAATTTATCTTAAAGATGTACTTGTCTCAAAATCCAGATCCTGACCGTATGGTTTACTCTCACTTCACATGTGCCACTGGTAATTATTTTTTCTATCATGAAAAAGCTTGTTTATACTTAAAATATATGATGCTATATTTTATTGGATAGACTTTTTAATAATGTTTTGAAATATTCTGATTGTTGGTATTAAATGACATTTCGAGTTTGATTATATATTATTCTTATATATGTGTGTAAATTCTGAACTATTTCATTACAGGTCAAGAAGATTTATAATTCTCACTTTATTATTATTATTTGGGAAAATAGTCGAAAAATCTTCCAGAAATTTTCAGAGATAAAAATGGATTGGGAAAAGTTACTAAAATACGTTAAATCATGGGGCAATTGTTAAAAAGTTTTTTAATTTTTTTTTCTCTTGAAAAATGCTTGACTAATCTGCATAAATTTTAGCATTGAAAACTTTAGGATTCATTTTAATAGAAATTTTTTATACTTTTAATTTTTAAAACTGTTACAGTATAAAATTATATTTATTAAAAATATTGAATAAAGTTACGTTTAAACAAAGGAGTTTTATGTAGTATTAAGAAAAGTTTCAATTTTCTTAAGTAGTTCCAAATAAATTATTTAATTATGTTAAATATGTGTTTGTACTTTATTGGTCAAAAATCAGAATTCAAGTGAAAAATTGCCGTTAGTTTTAATGCTAGCTTTTTTCTGTTTTTTTTTTGTCATATTCTAATTGTTTATTACTAATTAATTGTATTGGAAAAGGTGAGTCTTTCAAAGCCATTAAAGTTTCCTCATTACCTCAAATTATGTGAAAATATAATTTGATTAAAAATATTTAAGGTAGTTTCTTTCTTTTTTCTTTTTTTGTGTTGCTTTAAATAAAAGTAAATTATTCCGTTTGTTGTTTTAAATTTTTAAACATTCTTATAAATGTATCAAATGTTTAAGAAATGAATGCAAAAAGATGAAAAAAAAATGTTATTTTTTATCTATAGTATTTATTTTGTTTAAAATTTATTTATACTCTTTATTTATTTGTGTGATCCAACTTTCTGCTGCCTATAGATACTGAAAATATTCGTCTGGTATTTTGTGCTGTTAAAGACACTATTCTGCAAAACAACTTGAAAGAATGTAATCTTGCCTGACAATCGAGAGGAAATAAATATCAGTGTAATGTAATTAAGTATTTAACCAGTAATTAGCAAATGATGTCCACCTATATCCAAAAAATATCTCAACCCTTTTGCTTATCATAGAAGATATTTCAATAACCCTTCCTATTATTCTATATGCTTTAGAAAGGAAGTAGATATAGATACCTCAATCAGGAGCTGAAATTAGCTTATTATACGCTATTTGTGCTGTTCTTTTTTAGAAAAGAAGAAAAATAATAATAACCTGAATTTTCCTTACAGTTATCATACTTTAGATAAAAAAAACATTTTTATGCATAGATAGTTTATTTTCAATTTATTTTGTGCTTATTATTGTTGTTGTTTTATTGTTGATATTGAAAATCTTAGTGATAAACATGTTGAGTGAAAACATCTTAAAAAAATCCAGGTTTAAAAGTGGATGGTTGTTTAGTAAATTGGTTGTTAATAAAGTAATAAATTGAACAGAAAAAAAAGCATTTTTTACTTATTGCTTTTTTTTAACCATCATTTTAATTTATTCAAGTAAGCATGTAATGGCTGCTTTCAGAGACAAAAAAAGATGTATTGTAATTAGCTTCTCTGAAAATGTTTTTCTTGATTTCACTTAACATGTTCTTTTACTAAGGTTATTATTGCTCAAATCATGTATTGAAGCATATAATTTCTATTATATAAACTCAATGGTGCAACAGCCGATGGGGGACCATGGCCTGCTGTGTCCATCTCAGTTTTTTTTATTGCACTATTATTGCTCAACTCATGTATTGAAGCATATGAGTTCTATTTTATAAACTCAATGACACAACAGCCCAGAGCGGACCAAGGTCTGATGTGTCCATCTCAGTTTTCTTGATCTCGGGCTGCAGGAGCAGATGTCCCGATTTTAATGGTTAACCGAACGTCAAGCCCCCAGTGTTCAGTCCCTAAGCATGCTTGGTACTAATTTTACTGACCCACAGAAATGATGTAAGGCCGAGTCAACTTTGCCTAGATTGAGGATTGAATCCCGGACCTGCGGCAAGTGCTACCATCGGGCGTTTTATTGTATAACTAGCTTAATTTAGCTTTCTAACAATAAATATGTAATAATTTGCAAGATTTACAATAATTAAATTATTTTTTTAATTATAGTATTTATTTATTTTTTTTGTTATAAATAATGCTCTTGAAAATTATGATTGTTGATTGTTTTAAACATTTGTGGTTATTTTGATTTTAGTTTTGATAGTTTGATTTTTTAGAGAAGTAAAAAAATACAATTTTATTGTTAATTGTTAAATTTATCACTTAAATATGAATATTTGTATACTTTTTGTTTTATTTCAAAGTTATATACTTAGTTTTAAAGTTTATATACTTTTTGTTTTATTGCAAATGTTTTAAAAATATTTCTTGATACGAAACACTGTTTACCTAATAAAGTTATTACTGAATACCTAAAGCATTACTTTTTCTAAAAACCAAAAAATTGCAATATTAAGAAGTTTGTTTTATTCCCATGTGTTTTTATTATGTAGTTAGCCTATCAAATTATATATTGTTCTAATTTTTGTATTTCTTTCTTCTTCTCTTTCCAGACACTGAAAATATTAGGTTTGTATTTGCTGCTGTGAAAGACACCATTCTCCAACAAAATTTGAAGGAATATAATCTTGTATAGGTGGTAAAAATTAGCCTTTTTACTGTTTTGACTTCACCCTTGGAATCACTATCAAAGCTACCTTTTGGTTAGCCCTCCTGATGGTGACACACATTTTTTTCAAACAACAACAAAAATCGATTTTGCTACTGGCAAACATATATAAACATACTCGTGTGTTTGTGCATATATACACAATATGTATATAAATATAATTGAAATCCCGTGAGGTCATTTAACTTGCTTAACACTGGGAGTGACTTGGCTACCAGTACATAATAATGATAATTATTCTGATACTGATAGCTCTCTTCTTTATCTATTCTTCCCAATGCAGTCAGTAGAATGATTTTATTTTAATTTCTCTTCATAGAAACTCTTGTAGAGTTAATATTGAACAGTAGATTTTTTTATAATAAAAAAAAATTCTCTGTGCCAATGCATTTCTTATATAACAAAAAAAAAAAAGTTTTGCTTACATTTGTACAGCGTTTTATTCTAAGTGGATGAGATTAAATAAATTGTGGGGTATATGAAATAGTACTTTTTTTTGTTTTCTGTGCTCAAATGCGGTGGACTTTTATGATCGAAATATATGGTTTGATTTAAGAATATTTTTTTTGTGTGCTAATCAAATTTTCATAAATTTATGTGCCTCTTATAATTTTACTACATTTAAATTTGCTTAAATGATTCTGATTTTCTGTAATATAGTCACTAAAGCTCTGTGATGAAATTAGCTCAGCCTAGTGATGTCAGTTAAATACTACATGTCTCAGCTGAAAGCATTGTGTTCAGATGGGTCCAAATTTTAAATGTAAGAATGTCTGTTACGCTAATTGTATATTTTTTACAAAATACAACAGCTATTTAATAGACAGCTTTTTTTTTCCTTACATGATTTATACTTACTATAATTTTCAATTACAAACTTAGCTACTTTTGTTTTTAAGTCACAAAGAGAAATGACATTGCAGTAATGTTCTCGTAAAACAAAGTTTTTTGAATTTTTAAATGAAGTTTAACATTAATCATGGTTTTTCAAAAATTTGTATATAGTCACTTTTATTGGTTAAACTTAGCTAGTCAAAAGCATAAAGGGAATTAACATTTTAATCTATTTTATCCTATACTTCTAATCATAGATTTTAAATGTAACTTGAAACACATTAATGTGTAAATATATTTGAAGTGTCAGTTTTTCTTTAGAGTGCATTTTTTTAAAAAAAGAAAATTAAACTATGATAAATTTAATTTTAAAAAAATTCATTATATTAATATTAAATAATCGGAATTGTGCAATTTCATTCATATAAAAGAAGTTTGTTAAATCTTGTTATATTGACTAGGCACTTCAGATAGTGAAACATAAGATCTATTTAATGTGCATTATGATGTTGAAAATCTTAAATTATATAAATTGACTAAATTAAAATCTGGTCATTCTATTTGGTGTTTCAAAAATGTTTTTGTGCGTTACATAAAGTGTTTTAGCATTTCAGTGTGTGATTGTAGCCTACAAGGTGAGGAATTCAATGAGAAATAATTCCCTTTTTGTATTTAAAAATATAAAAAATTTGTGTACAGAAATGTCTTTGTATTGTATATTTCTTTTTATATTTTGTTTCTTGCACGTCAAATCTACATTGTAATATACATAATTCTTCCCTTTTATGCAAAGTTTATGTAATTATGTTACTGATCATGTAATTTATAAGTGCTGATCAGCCTTCTTATATTGTTGGTGCTTTTCAATATACTACTGTTTCTTGCAATTTGCATGTAATGGTAGTATAAGGATCCTGTTTTAGTGTTACTATGCTTTGATATATACACCTATATATATATATACATACTATAGACTATATAACAGTGCTGAGATTTTGTAAAATATGAAGTATTGCATTTTTGTCTTCTGACATCTTTTTCAGGCATTTGTTATTTACATGCCATTAAATGTTTGTAAAGTTAAAAATAATTTGAATGGTGTCTTGGCTGCTACCTGTGCTCAGTAATATTTTATAATAAAATTTGAGATCATTTCATATACTATAAAAAAATGTTTTTTTTTTCCTCTTATTTTTTAGCTTTTCCTTTAGGATTGATGAATAAACATGAATTATTTATAAAAATTTGGCTATTTTGTATTTTATTTTTTACTTTAATCATATTTTAAACAAACTTGTTAAGCTTTGTTTTCTATTCAATAACACAAAATTAGTGTTACTTAACTCTTCTGTATAAGGCAAGCAAATACTTTATTTTTCTTAATTACTTATATCATTTTGTTATAAAAATCATAGTCTTAAAGATTCTGCTCAGTCTCAAAGGTTTCAACCTGTGGAAATAGTATTTCGAGTATATTCATACTAAATAAGTGTGATTGGAAGAAAAAAAATAGTTGACCCAGCATTATTAAATCTTAAATAGTTGTAGTAATAATAATAAAAAAAAAGGAATCACCTTATTAATAAGTAATATTTTATGTTTTGAAAAAGTTAATAGGAAAAATTAGATACACTTTAGAATCCTGGTTACACACAGAAGTACTTTTCAAAGGATTTTTAGTTGAGTGGCGAAAGATCTCAAATAGTTTATGTGACTTGCTACACAATTTTTTACATGTCTGCAGCATTGATTTGGTAAATGCAAGCATTTACAAAAAAAGTGTTATTAGCGAGTGCCTTTCCTTTAACCTCTTCCTTCTCACTTCCGTCAAATGTGGGGGTGAAGTCTCGCCCACCATTTCTCATGCATGTTCTTCTAAGAACATAATATCTTTAATACATTCTCATTTGTATAAATAAATTCAATATTTTTAACATAGCAAATATAATCAATTTTCTTTTGTGCTAGTCCCCTTTTCAATGCTGTTTATTTGAACCATCCTGCATCATATAGATTTTTGTTTAAAATTTTAGAGCAAATTGAAAATAGTGTAGGATATCCGTGAACTTGGAAAGTCATAAATTCCGGTACTGAACAAAATTTCTCATGATTTTAACTATTTTTTTAAAAAAAATTATAGAAAGTCATGGATTTAAGTCTCTGAAAAATCAAATTTTTAAAATGGAATTTACCCCTTCCCCCCAATTTCACAGTGTTCCGAATATCTGAATTTGCAACAAAATCCCTGCTCACAGTCATATTTTATTACAATATGAAATGTTTTTATCATGCTCTTTAAAAGTTATGATATTCTTTCAAAAAATGAAAAACTTCATTTCTAGAGCGAATTATCTTCTAAACTTCTGTGATTTCAGAATTTTTATTATTATTTTTTTATTTTATCAATTAAAAATTCTAGCAGAACCAAACCAGTCATTGGCGAATTTTTTTTATTCCGAAATGAGAACAGAAAATCAGGACTATTTCTTTTCTTTCCGATGTACAAGAAAAATATCTTTGGACTATAATTTTTTGCAGGAGAAAAAAATTTGCTTACGTATTTTTTTCCAGCTATTTAATTGCTTCAACTTTTTCTTTCTCTGTTTTTAAAATTTATAAATATGAAGATGCAGGGTATAACAGTTTTGGTTATACCTATCATTTCAATTAGTGGTATTAAAATGCTTTTTTAATTTATTGTTGTGTTTTTGTTGGAGAAAATAGTAACTTCATTAAGTCATAAAAAAGTCTTGGAATCAGTCATGGAAAGTACATGTCCCAGGCAATATAATTTTTGAATCATTGATGCGTAGTATTCATCTTGCCATTAAAAAAGCAGGAAATAGAAGAGGTCAGAGCAACTAACGCCTAACCAAGTAATTGTGATTGGAATTTCACATGCATGCGATAAAAAATTGGGTCTCCATAGCAATGAGAAGAAGCAAAATAATTAGGCACAAAGAAATGCACTAGAGTCTGAATAAAAACTTAATTATGAGAAAGGGGAAGATACATGCATAAATATCAATACACTTTTCAAATGCAAAACTTTTTATTAACACTTTGAACAGATAGTTCTATTTGGTACTCAAGTAACTGAAATAAATATCTTAATAGTAATAAAGGAGAATGATTAAAAAGATTTTAGTCTATTAAAAATAATTTATTTTTTTTTGCTGGAACGGGAATGGCCATGAGAAAAACGTAAGTATTTTTAACAAATGTTTATTTATTAACAGGTAGTGGTTTGTTAATTATAACTGATAGAAGTATATATAATTTCATTATTACAGTTAATGTTAGGAATTATTAATTAATATATCCTGTAGTTATAAATATATATGAGCAAATAACTAATCATTGGACAGGGGATATGATTTAAGCTCTCCCCTAAATTTTAATTGTAAAACTAATTTTTTTCAGAGCAAGGTGGGTCAAATTAGATTTTCAATATGAGTCAATAACCACAAATTTATTATTAAAATCATATTTACATAATATTGCACTATTTAGAGAAGGCAACAACATTACACTATATTATATACCATTACTTTATTGCAACTCTATAGATACAGAAACACCTGTATAATCAAAAAGTTAAAGTAAGCATAATTAAGAAAGTTTGTAAAAAAATTAATTCGTAATATTTTTTCTTTTTATAAAAGATTTTATTCTTCTATCAGCATGACAGCCTAGTACAGGCCAGGGGTTTCCCAATAAGTTGCTTCCATCTGGCTCGTTCAGAATCTAGGTTTCTCCATGTATTGATGCCCAAGGTTTTAAGATCTTTTTCTATAAAATCAATCCCTCCAGTGTTTTCTTTCGGTTAGCAGTTAATTTTCCAAAAGTCAGCATCTTAACTGATTCACCATCATCCCTTCTATAGATGTGACCTAGCCATTTTATTCTATAGGATTTAAAAACTGAAATTATATTTGGCTGCTTTAATTTGTTGAATGTACTATTATGAATGATTCATAATACCCCAAACTTTCTTTAACAGCTTCAAAGATTGCTCAGAGTATTTTTCTTCCGAAAATTAGTAGTTCATTTTCATTAGATTTATTTAAAGGCTAGCAATGGCTGTCATAAAAAGTAATACAGTTTTAATTAATTTATTTTAGTTCTATTGAATGTTAACATTTATTGAATGTACTATTATGAATGATTCATAATACCCCAAACTTTCTTTAACAGCTTCAAAGATTGCTCTGAGTATTTTTCTTTCGAAAATTAGTAGTTCATTTTCATTAGATTTATTTAAAGGCTAGCAATCGCTGTCATAAAAAGTAATTCAGTTTTAATTAGTTCATTACATAAATTAATTTTGATTTCCATTAGTTTCTCAATTCAAAATAATACCTATTAGCTATAGTTATCCAGTTAATTTATTTTTAGATATTATTAACTGTAACAATAGTCTCAAGGTACTTGAATTGACTGACACCTTTAAATGTATAATCATCAGTCCCCTCAAAATTTTAACTACTGACTGCCATAACAATGTTTTAACAGAATCCTCTAACTTGGTAAAAGTCTCTGAAATAGCTTTTTTGGTACATCCTATTAAATTAACGTCATCCCTATAAGCCAATATTTGAACAGACCTTCGGATAATTGTACTAGTATTTATATTGGTATCTGTAATTGCTTTTCCTAGTGCAATGTTAAATAGTGCGGAAGAGAAGGTATCTTCCAATCTTAAACCTCTCTGCATGTAATAAAGATTTGATAATTCAGACAAATTTTACTTTGCATTTGTTATCTTTAAGGGTCATTTTTACAAGGTTAACTAGTTTATATAAAATTCTAAACTCAATCATAGCATCAAAAGATGGTATATGATATCATATTTTGTTTTTTCTAGGATTTGTCTGAGAGTGAATATGGTCAGTAGTAGCTTTTTTTTATATTTTGGAATCCATATTAGCATAAGAAGAAAGTTTGTAATGCAATAGTTTGGATAATATTTTATACGTATCATTTAAAAGTGTAAAGCCTCTATAATTGTGCAATTCCAAATCCACAAAAATATAGCAAATTATACCTTCCCATTCAGTGGGCATCTGTTCATTGACCTAAATATTAAAAATAATTTTGTGTAATTTCACACTTATTGTAAGTTCATTAACGTTAATTAGTTCACATTTAATATTGTAGGTTCATTAATGTTAATTAGTTCACAATGTGTTCCAGTAAATTGGTTAGAATTAAGAAGTTTAATTATAAGTTTCACTTTCTGTAAACTTGGGAGTAAATTCTTCAATTTTTCCAGATAAATATTCAAAATCTAGTATACAAGAATCTATAACAGGACTGTCGCTTCCAGAGAGAACTTCCTGGAAATGCCCTCTCCATCTATATATATTTTTTACTACCCAACTTTTTGCAACAATTTTGCATTTGCTACTGGTCAGTTCATCATCTGGCCACCAAGATTGATTAGAACATCTAAAAATCTACAGCTGTATTATAAAAAGTACAGCAATAAAACGCTAATTAGTCTTCCCCACAAGTATTGTTTATTTAATAAAATTAAGTTGGAAAAAAAAATATTTTACTCATTTCATAAATGTTTTTTTCTTTGTTGAAAAAAGTATGAAGTCTTTCAAAATCAGAACAACAAAAATGTTTTATCAATGATATATGGATTAAAAATGAAGGTATTAATAATTAAACTTATTATAATCCAAGGTTTTTGATATCAAATCGTAAAACCAGACCACTGATTTAAATTATCACACAAATGTTTTGCTAAAGTTAAATAAGTTACATCAACATCAGTTTAAAAATAACATTATTTTTTAAAAAAAGCTATGAAAAACCAATCAAATGTTATAATTCAAAAATATGAAATAAGTTACTACTTAAGTTACATTTTAGTCTGCTTAAAAAGACATTTTTATAGAATTTTATCAAAATTGATTATAATTAATTGATTGAATCACTTAATTCTATAATTAACAACATGCAATATTTTGTTGTAAAAAAACTAAAAATTATTTCAGCTGCATATTTAAAAATAAATATGTGTAAAGAATATTTAATCTTCTACCAAATAGTGTATTTAGTTTGTGTAAACACAGTTTAATTAATTATTTTTAAGAACTAAATTGATTGTTACAATTGCAATACAAAATCAGGCAATAAAAAAAATCATCAGCAAACACCTGTATGAATAAAGTACTAGATTGCTAATACTAATTATAAAATTTCAGAAGGTGCCAAAACTTGATAGTTATTT